TTTCAACGTACTCTAGACAATTGTCAATTAGTTCCCTGGAGAGAAATCGTATTATCGGGTAATTTAATGTGGTTAATGTCGAGGAATATCATTCGAAGTAAGATGCAGGAGTTGATGTTGACGTTATATTTTCTTGGATTATGACTGAAAATGTGAAATAATGATACCGACCTTTTTTTTATCTGCAGGGCTATGCAAAGTCATGAGCATCGTAAATAACGCCTCATCACACGTTACGACGCTGATAATAATAAAAATAATATGTGCACCGATAAGGTGTCATCTACTCGGAAGCGTTTAAGAATTAGCTGTCTCTTCCACTCGTACGAACATTAATATCCATGTACACACAGCGCGAGCGTAGATATTGGATCATAACCGACCAACTCGCACCGCCATAACCCCCAGGGGACATTGCGGGTGAGCTGCTTGCTTCCCTCGGAGACCGTATTCGCTAAGATTGCGTTTATACACGTGAAAACAAATTGACTGTTTCCAAAATGTTTCGGTGACAGTGTAACAATGTCTGAACAGTAAACATCCGTTAAAATTTTAAAGCTTAGCGAATGCCTTTACCGTGAGGTGACAAGGTAGTAGTGAAGTTTTAACAAACAAAAGGTAACGACCCGGAGACTGTAAATCGCCTACACAAAATTATAAACGTGAGCTTTTACTGCGCTATATGCGTGTTATGAATTTGTAAATTTTCATAACTCCGGAGGAGACACAGTAAAGATATTGTTATTACGCTCTGCGTCCTTATGCGTTAACTACTACTATTTAAAACCATAAATAAAACAGTATACACATAGCCAAGTCGATGCTTTCAGCTGTTTGATGCTATAAATAAGTGAAAATTATAATTATTATTTATAGTATACACGTGTGTAAAAAAACTATCGACAATATTATACGACTGCAATTAAAATAATAAAAAAGGAATCATGACTTGCGAAAATTTGTACCATAAATTAATAAATATCAATAACTTATTACAGAGTGCAATGAACCAGCAGATTTTTTTTATTAAGTAAAAACAATATTGATCATTTTTTTCGTGATATCTCTTAGATACATTTTTTTCTCCGTTTATCAATCATAAAGTATTTTTTATTTAACCGTTAGCCTTATAAGGGCGTCAACTTTATTTTGTTAATTGTCAACACACGTGTTTAATTAGCTTATTTATTAGATAATGATTCACCTAAGAAAATTATCGACTGACAATAACTTTTGGTTAAGTGTTTCATAAGTTATTAACAATATAAAGTAATGGCTGGGGGTGGTGAGTGAGTGCTGTTATTTTTGTCACTGGACATATCTCTGCTTCAATTCTTTTCCCGCCCAAGTATACAAAGGTTAGTAACTTCAAAAATAATTGTCCAGAAGTTGTTGTCGAACAGTTATTTTGTTAATTAAATAATTGTCTACTAAATAAGCTTTTTTAATGTGTGTATTAAAATTAAGAAAAATAAAGTTGACACCCTTATAAGGTATAAGCGATGAGCATAAATATATTTTAAAAATTGAGAAATTGAGAAAAGCATGTACTTAAGTAACCGAAAACAGATTATTAGTATTGTTTTTTGTTTCATCGAAAAGTCTTTTGATACATTCTGATGACTCTGTATTTAAATTTCACAAAAAAATGTATTATAACAGCGAGATTATGATGAAATAATCGATTCTGTATATTATAATCAATTGAATTATGTTCATATATTTATAGAAAACAAGAATCGTTTTTGTCGCATAACTATAAAAAAAATGAACGTTTTAATTATTTTTATATAAACAATAATTTAACAATTCCAATCAACATTTTCTAAAGGTGTTTTTAAATACAATGAAGAGTTTTCATAATCATTATATTAATTAGCTTATAGCATATGTCTGGCTTGAATTCAAAACATGAAAAACGTGTGTGGTTTGATGCATACCGAGTTTTCTACTTATAATAATATACGTATTCATTATCAATGAAAAACTATAACCGCAACTTTGAGCTGAATTCCATTTAAGTTTTCATGATTTATTTTATTTTTGATATTAATGTATAAATAGAATGGGTTGTATTTGTCATCAATTTTAAGTTTCACTTAACCAAAATTATAATAACATTACACAGTTTTTTCCTCTTCTTTATCTGCCAAGATTTAATAACCGCTAACTTTTGATAGATGACAGTCGCTTAATATCAGCGGCATAATCTACAAAGGTTTACAACGTGCATATATTCATGTAGAAATATTGACGTGAGCTTTTTGTTAGACCACTACAAAAATCATAATATTAATAGTTGAACACGTGGTATATTATTATAACCCATAGACATGTTGGTAGACTGTCAACATTTTTAAAGTTATTGAAATTTGAAAAAGTGAAATCATATATGAAATAGATAAAAAATTTTATAAATTAAAAGCTAAAATTTTCATAACTAACTAATTGTATAAATTTACGCAGTATTAATTTCAGACTACTACTTCGTTAATTGTGTTTCACTAAGCATTTACACTAAATATTTATTAATGGAAATGTGTAAAACGTTTAAATAGTCGAAAATCGGTGACACTAAGTAAAATGATGACGCTATTTGTATTATTATAATTAAAAAAATTTATACGTCTGAATGAGTATCCACTTGGTGATATCTACTAAACGATAAAAAATTGACGCTACCGATTTCTTAATCGCATAATAAGTTTGTAACACACCATAACTCGCGATGACGTCCAGTTTAGTAATTATTAAAAAATGTCAAGTTACAGTACTGAAAGGTGGAGGATGGTACCTAATGACCAGTAGTTATGTAGGTGTTACGCCACGATCAACGACGACTAGTGTAATTTTGGCAGGCAACCACCGTAAAAGAGGCAATCGTTTTATTTCATTAACCGTGAATTCCCTACCCCTTTCCAGCTTGTCACGTTTGTATGTTCTCCTTATCGTACACCACTCACTCGGCAATCTTCTGTCTTTCTCGCAATATCCTCTGGTCGTTTTTCAGTAGTGTTACATCGTGAAACCCACGTCCTTCGCTCATTTTTAGAGACACAATCCAATTAAAGCCAATAATTTATACCCCCGCGAAACGACCCATTTATTATCAGTAGTACATAGGCAAGGCACACAAAGGAGAAAGGCATGGGGCAGGCTCCGTGTAATTTCATTTTGTCTCATCTATTTTTCTTTTTCCCTTTCGCTGTCGGTATTAATAAATTTTTTTAAACATTATTTATTTTCGAGTAGTAAACGAAGCGACACGTGCGTCTATCTTCCTTTAGATGAAAAAAATAATAAATAACAACGTGACAAAAAGCTTCACCTCTGCTTCGATAGCACTCAATTATCGTTGCTATTGGTCGAAGGTTGGAACTGAGGTAAATTGCATCAAAAGAAATCATACAAAAAGTACTTTAGATTCTACCTTAGTATTGTTTATCTTAAAACCTAAAAAAAAATGCATGAGTAAAATATTTTATCATCAACGTGCGTGTCTATAGACAGGCACGTATCCAAAATTTTATTTAATGGAATGGTACAAATCTCATGAATACTCATAGGAATACACGTTATCTGTACAATCATATTCAAACCACGTTATCTCAATTGCATTTTGAAAATTTCGAAAATAGAAATGGTAGTCTTAATTGACATAAATATGAGTTATCTACATGACTCGTCTGTATTACTTTATCTGTATTTAAAATTATAAAAAGAGAAGTATTTAAAGTTTTTCACTATTTTTGGTTTTAGAAAAAATTTATAAATGAAACAAATTTTTGTTGAGATTTATTAAGTTGTGAATATAATGTATATTGATAGAATATTGAATTTTTATTGTAGTTGATTTATTAATGAATCGAAAATAATAATTTTTCTCAAATCAAGTATGATATTAAAAATTTTTTATCGTTCCATTAATTCGTATACAAGTCCCATCTGAATGTACATTTTAATTGTGGATTTTATCTCATAAATGTCTGCCATGATTGTAAAAAGTTAAAATGTAGACCAGCAACGATTGTATTCTCTACTCTTTGGAATCTCATGTCTCCAACTCTTCTCCGTCTTCAAAGTGTATGTGATTTGTTGCCCGTTAAGTTTATTTAAACGCGCAATGTGAAGCAGAACCTTTATCCCGATTTATTATCACGAATTATAATAAATAATATACTTACTAAGCTTTAACATTGAAAGTTGGTTCACACGGTAAAATATGAATGTGATACTGCCAGTTTTATATATTTTTCATTCGGTAGTTTCACCCACGACCCATTTGCGATTTAGTCTGCTAAAAAAGTGTTCGCCATTTCCATTGATGACCTTCTATACGTACTACATTACCTTGTTTTTAGTTTAGTATCGGCCAGTGTACCGGTAATCCTCATCGTATCCTCTAATGACGGACAATATTTTTTGTTCTTTAATCTACAGGGATCCTTTAAAACTCAACGCTTATTTTTTATTACTTGAAAACTAAATAACATGCTATTATTTAACGCTGTTGGTATTTTACGTGTCATCAATAAGAATTTACTTTTAAATCTTATTTTTGATGAATCCTGCTGCTATAAAAACGAACAACGAAAACATTATTTGTGTAATATGAAGTGGACAATAAGATTAGATAATTGAATTAAAACTTAACCATTTTAATGTATACATATTACAATTAAATTAAAATGAGTAATATTAAAAGTATTGACACAGTAGTTTTGAAAATGTATTATATGTATTAGTGCATAAATATAGTTTAACAGGTAGGTAATTTTAAAAAATAAATTCTAAAAGATAAATTTTCGATTCTTGTAAACGTTGGTTGAATTTATCTATTGTACTACATAACTACACTAAAATAAAATGAAAAATTCTACGATCTCGTGTTATTTATTAGTTTGAAATGGTTTGTTAAGTTTGTCTGCGAAACAAATTTATGATATAATTTATTTCAAGTAAAACAAGTTCCTTACTAACTCAATATTTTTATTTTTCAGAATCGTTAAGAGAATACTTTAGTAAATTTGGAGAAATAACTGAAGTCATGGTGATGAAAGATCCAACCACTCGTCGTTCAAGGTAGTTAAAAAAGAATATTACAATGTCAGACTACTATTAGTTGTTTGCTAGAATAATTTAAACAGTATATCACATCTATTATCATTATAAAACATAAAAATAACCTAAAAATACAATAGGCATCGTACGCGCAACACTCCATTTCTTTTTAATGTCAAAACGAAATGATTATTACTTTTTAAAAGATGCTTCTAATTCATTTGCTAGTAAATAATAACATCTAAGCACGCTATTTTTTTTTTACCATTTCAATAATTGTATAGAATTCGGGTATATAGCAGAAAAAATAATCGTTTACATTTACGTTGGTTAAGTTCACGCGAAAACCCCTAAACGTTTCTATTAAGCGTATTACTGCCAGTCAATATAAACTAATACCTATAGGCTATATAATACTATTTAAAATAGTATTTCGAGCAATCTCGGTAGTGTAACGGTCCAAAAAAATAATAAAAGTATTAAAACGTTGGCAATATTATCGGTAAATCCTGTCTCGTCCTTCGTTCTCTATCAGGTTTCACAATAGCGGGTTATAGTAATTGCTTGAATGGCGAATACAGTTTTGATCGGATTCGGATAATGGACATTTTGCACGACCAAGTGGAAATGCAATCGCAGTCGTTGAAATTCTATGAAGTTTTAATTGTGAGTTGTATCCAGTGGTTATTACAACAAGAGAAAGGGTTTAGGAAATTTACATGGTGGTTCGGTTCTACACAAAAACTGTAGTTAAGAAGTACTCTCGTCTAAACTACTTTCGGTGTTAATTATTAGTGTGCACGCATAGCCCTGGAGATTCAACGTGGGTGTCGGGTTTAATTATTCACAATAGCAGTAGTGACGACACCTCGACGTCTATAGGGGTGGGTGGAAGTTAACTGTCATGTGTTCAGATAAAGTTTTTGTTGCCGACCTTAGGATACTTGCTCATGTTAAGTTGGATAAGTTTTTAAAGAGAGAGAACTCTTGATTAATTTCTTACCAGAAGTTTAATTTTAATTTAGCACGACTATTGAAAATGTTATTCAGTTTGTAGTAAAGTCAAAGAAATTAAAACAAAAACATTCATCATTATGATTACTGTTGTTACTAAAAAACTTTTGAAAACTACAATTTGCTTATAATATTAGGTATATCACTCGTTTTAAAATGACAAATAGTGAAAATCTAACATTTGTTTTTCGTTATCCTGTTAGATATTTATCTTTTTAACTGAATATCATTTAAAGTAATAGAAATCTGATTAATTAAAATTTCGTAATTTTAGTCTAGTTTTAAAAAAAAATACAATATTTTTATAAAAAAAAAAAAAAATCAGACAAAAATACAAAAAACTTAAATAAATGAGTCAAGAAACATAAATTTGTTCTTGTAAGATTGAAGTACACATTTGCAAGTCTAATATTAGTTTTATTATGATCTTATTGAGATTAGATAACTTCCATATAATTATTTGTTTAACTATTAATGATACATAAATGTATTAATAAAATAAAAAAAAATTGTAAAAATACAATAAATTAATAATTAAAGTAATGTTTCATACTACAATGTAAAAAAAAATGTATAAATAAATACCTCTAATACCACTCAACTAAATATCTTAAAGAAAAAATACCGTCAATGTTTTTATGAAAGCATTAATAAAGAAAGTAACAATTTATTTTTTTGAAAATAATTTTATTTAATAATAATTATTAATCATTTGGGAATACATTATATAAACATTGACTAAACTTTTTTATTTAAAAAATATTATTTGTTTTGAATAATAATTTGAAATGTATCTTGCGAGATTGTCAATATTCATTAACTGATAATGAATATTTCCATCATAAATAAACTAATGAATTTGAATAGCCGAAAAAATTCCATCATTATATTTGAAAATGTAGAATTATTTAATAGAGTTAAATTTTAATTTATTATGCTTTAATGATTGACAGTTTCAATTAAACACTCTTTACATAATTATTGATGAATAGAATGAATAACATATTTTTGATTTGTACAAATTTATACTCAGTTGTGCATAATGTACAAAACTGTGTTTACATTATGTAATATTATATGTAAAGTTGTTTGAAAAATTTTATGATCCACAGATATATATTCAAATACACGTTTTGTTTTTAATTTACTGCAATAATTTTGTGTTCTTTCAATTATGTTGAGATTTCCTTTTTGAAACAATTATTACTGACAATACATAGAAAGTTTTAACCATTAAAGAATATTATGGATAAGTTAAAAACAATGAGAATTTTCTGACTCATATGAAAGCCTCATAAAGATGTCAAAACTTTGGTCTTTTGTTCTTGGTATATTTTTCTAAATTATTTTAAACTCTTTGTGTTTGTAAAATTTTCAACTCTGTGTTTATATGGTGTAACAACATCTCTAATAGTTTTCAGTTGAAACGGCTGCCGATTGTGTTCGACTTTTAATAGCTAGGCCAATTTTCATTAATAACGCTATTGTTCACTTTGAGTTTAGAAACGGAACTATTCGATACATGTTCTATTATTTGGAATCGCCATACATTGTGAATGTGTATGCATTCCTCGGTGAATCTTTGTGTACCGTACGCCATTTAATTTAACGCTGTTCGTTTTGTAGCCTTGTGGGCAGACTAGTAGCTGTTTAGAAAATCAATGGAAGTTTTCCTAGAAGAGTGGTGGTAATGATCCGCTTGTTCACATATTACCCCTTTTAAATAAACGTGAGATTGGATTGGATCTGACGAACTGGTGGAAATAAAGACAAACGAAATTCACATCAAAGGTTGTGAAATTATATTATAAGTTAAGCGCATCGTTAGTGGTTTCACCAATAAAACGAATCCGTTTCCTGTGTAATCTTGTCTAGTGTAATAATTTTAATATGATATTACCACGACAAATAAACGCGTACTTGAATTTTTATGCCTAATGAGTATTCTTTTTATATAATGGAACTTCCATTTATTCTAATAAAATCATTATGAGATGATAGCAAAAACGGTAGTTTGTAAAAAGACTACGCACAAATCCTTTGGTAGGATCATCTTGTCTTACTCGAGTGCACTTTGCTAACGCGAGGTGTTCGTGAGATGATATAGTGGTTTTAATTTTTATCCCGTTTTTTACTCTTTGCGCATACGTTTTACTCAATAGCGGTAAACCGCAATTGCATTCTTCAACCGCAAGCCAATTACTATAAAAACAAATTAGATTTTTCATAGTGCACAATAAGTAATAACAATATGATATTATAAGTTACACGAAGTTAACGGTTTTGTGGAAACACCCGCGTTTAATGTAATTTAATTATTTATGTATTCGGCTTTTACCATTGGACCAAGTACAAAAAAAAAAGCTTCTAGAAACCAAGTAGCTTTTATTTGTCAAATACAATGTTTAGACACGTTCCATTATCATTATGTAACTATTTTCATTCTCGAAGCTCATTTAATTATTAACAACTGAATGACTGGACTGTTTTGTAACCCGTCCATCTCGATGGCGACAAAACTATTTTTGAGAGTTATGTTTTCATTCAATGAATTTAAATTATACTACATATATAATTGCTCGTTAACATTCATACTATCTCTCCTAACATCATTTTACAATCTCGATTTATCATAGTTATTCATTCTTTAATTTCCCTTCAACGTAGAACAAATATTATTTTTGAAATAATTTAGTATTTATATTAGTTGAAGCGAAATATTTATAAATTATAAGAACAAGTTTGAAAAAACTGAAACTTTAGTGATACACCATAATATATAATTAAGTATGCTGTTAAGTAAGTTATTATCAAATAACGATATTATTTGTTTTTAAATAATAAATTTAAGTTTGATATTTTATTAAAATTTATTTACATAAATTGATGTAGTACTAAAATAACTGCATTATTTATATATAATCCTACAAATATTTAAATTTTTGGTAGTAAAGTTTTTTAGAAATGTCGTTTAACGTAATTTTCATATTATTAAAATGATCAAAATGGACGCAACATTCAGACAAGTAAAACGTTATTTTAAAAAGAGTACTATTATACATTTCAAAAATAATTTAATTATTATAAACGTTTGTTTACGAGAACATTCAATTACTGACTGTCAGAAGAGCAAGTGGCATACATGTTTATGTTGTCGATCCAATCTTTTCTCTGGCGTAGAATAATAAAAGGCTATTAAAAGCATTTTAATGGCTAGCCACGGGAACAATGACATCGTTTTGGACTTAAAAAGCGATTCAATAGATCTCCTATGTTTATCCTCGACCGTTCATCACGCGGCCCGTATACTTTCTTTAAGTACAAAACGAGAAATATTTTAAAGACTTGGCGTGGGGTTACGAACCGAGAGTGAGTCAGATAAGTTTCTTAAGACGGTTGTTTTTAAAACGTTTTTTTTTTCACGGCACGTTCTTCTTTAGTACCGGCCGGCGACGGGTCCGAGATAATTCCTAGGTCTGTTCTTTACACTGCGCCGTGTCCTCGACGTGACAAGCTGACGTAATCGTATCGAATAAAATAAAACGAAACAAAACAAAAATTGCGCGCGAGAATTCCAACTATAAAACGAAACGAGAGCTTAAGGGCGTGTATACATCCCCTAACGTTACCACTTGTCCTATCATCCCTCACTCGAGCAGCACAATGGTCCGATATTAGCAGTACTGTGAAAACTTTCACTAACGTCCCCTCATATCGACCAAATGTAAATTTTAAACGCACTTTTCGTCCAACAAAATCCGCTTATATAGTTGAATTATGCATATGTATCTTTTTAACGGTACCTCTCGAATTTTTCATGTATATTAAAGTCAAATGTGTCCTGTAAATTAACCGAAACGTCCCGTAACAATATTATTGTTTAAAGCGTATTTACTTTACAGATGCACAGAGCCATTCAACCTAAAACGGTTTTAGGTTTGTATTATTTTGCTTTAAATGTTCATACGTTGCGGTCATTGGTGATGATCTAGAGAAACGACGATAGT